TCACGATCCCAGACCCGACTGCTTGCCCACCAGGTTCCTCTGCCAGTTGCAGCTGATGGCTCTTGGGAGCAGGTTGAGCTGTGAAGGAAGAAGCTGCTCCTTGATATATTGGTTATGTCATGATTGCTGGGAACTGTAGGCCTTGATGGCTTTTCATGGGCAGGATTATTGTCTGCACACCACAGCTCACGTCCCCTCCAGCTCCAGGGATTTACTTGGCCCAGGGGAGCACTTGCTCCTTTTATCATGTGCCGTTCTCTGCTGGTACCTTTGGGCTAACAGTGCGTAAGTTCATGTCCTGGCACATCTTCCATGGGCACAATAACCAGTTTCCTAATAAAACCAAAACCAAAACAGCGATTCAAAACTAAGCCAAACCACTGCAGAGATGCTGAAATATTCCAATACGTAAATGGAGAAAGTGTCAAGAGCAGCAAATTTGACACAGCTGTGGCTGAGAGCTCCACTAACAGAGCAGTGAGAAATGAGGTAAAACAGCAACTGCAACAATCCCCCCATGAGCACAGAGCAGAGAGACCAGGAGCCCCCATCCCGGCCTTGCTCACAGTACTGCACACGGGGAGAAGGTGTGAGAAGCATCAGCACACACCCAGTCCCTGCCCTGGGAACAAAGAGCAAATAAAGCAGATTGACGTGAGACCTGACACACCACCACCAGCAATGCTCTCTTGGATGGAGGGGCTCACGTAGGAAAACCTCTGCTAAGGACAGGGTGGGGCTGTGCTGCGTGTGAGGTCCCACCCTGCGGCCGGGGGCACGTGGGTGGGCACAGGCACAGGAGGGGCTGTTAGGGCTCCCAGCTAGGACCGTGTGTAGAATGATGAATGCCTGGTCTGTGCCCATCAGGTTCTTTGGGTGTTGAGCAGCCAGTTCTGAACAGGGAGGAAGGGGGCCACAGACCCATTCTTTCTCCTTGGCCTTGTCACATCTTCCTCAGCCCAGCTGAGGGTCTCAGCTCACTCTTTGAATAAATTTGTCCATGATTAGCATTTCTTTATTTAATTGTTCTTTAGGATAAAAAGGGTAATATGGAATTTTTGCTTTTATTAACCTTGTCAGAAAAATAAAGCTTTGATAATATACAGAAATAATTTACTGGAACCTCCCCCCTCCCAAGAGAAGGGGATCCAGGTACAATAAACACATTATCAACTGAGTGACTCATTTGAGACAACCCTTCTTTCTTAAAAAATAAATCTGATAACATGATTTTGTGTTTAAACATCAAGAAATAGCTCTCACAATTTTAAATTACCTTTGTACTTTTCACATATCCTATGGCAAAGTGAACTATTGTTGCACTCCACGGCAAGAAAACATGAATGGGTTTAAATGCTATTACCACAATAACACTCTTTAATTTGCTTCCTCTACATTTTAGACAGCTATAATTGTCCTATCAGCAAGGCAGATTTTATGGCAATAAAAAGGGATAAAAGAAAAATGGGGTGTCTTTCATCATTTTCTTTGTACTGATCCTGACGTGCCAGCCAGCTCTAACGTAGGTACAGAACAAACAAGGGCTTAAACGTATCACCGATGTAATAACAGGGCACTAGCACTGGGGAATACTTTGTAAATGTTGAAGATGCTGAATAGACTAATCTCCAGCCTTTCAAGCCTGTAGTCAGGGCAGGCATTCTGCAAATAACCTGAAAATTGACTCTCTGCAGCAACAGTTCCCTGAGGAACTGAAGACATTTTTCAGAAAAGGGCTCTGCAACTTTACCAAGGCTGAGCAACATGAAATAATGCCCACTGATTTCATAAGGCACGGTTTAGGGTATTTGATACTGTTTGTGCTGCATTTTAGGAAGTCCTAGACCTAGACAGCTGAAATGTAACTGAAGTGACTGCATGTGGCACGTTCAGTGTTTGTCAGTGTGCTGCACTAGCCATCCCATTTTCGGTCTGTGTGGGGGAGGGTTTTGCTCTATTGAGAATTCAAACGGGAAGCTCTGATGTTTCCAAATTCTCAGGAACTGTTGCTGGCTGGACAAGGGCAGTTCCAGCTGAGCCTCCCCAAGAAGACAAAACACTTTAAGTGACACTGCTGTGCTCATGGTCACGGGGAGAAGAGAGCAGTGGGGATGTGAACTGCAGGCACAGGTTTGTGCCCTGCTGCAGGCATCACAGGGCAGGGAAAGGTCACCTTCACAGAGCCACTGACTCACAGACTGGTTTGGGCTGGAAGAGACCTTTAAAGGTCATCTGGTCCACCCTCACAGAGTCCTGTGACAGGCTGCAGCCTGCACAGGGGCAGTTTTCAGCCACACTCTGAAAAGGTAGCTAACCAGAAAGAAAAAAACCAAACAACTTCAACCAAAGCCTGAGCTTCTCCTGCTCCCAGCTGCTCAGTTAAAAACATATTACTTGTGCCTGCAGCATCCTGATCTTCCTCAAAAAAAACCAAACCAAACCAAACAGCCCACAAACCACCTAATGGTCTTGTTCGGATGGAGGAATTTACTTTAAAATGCTCTTTTCTTTCATCCAGGGAAACAACAGAGAGTATTTCACACCAGCTGCCAAGCCAGCCGTCCTTCCCAGGGAGTACCTGTGTCCAAGAGCCTGGGAGCTAAGGGGAACCAGCCACCACCAGACCAGTGGAGCACTCTGCCTCCAGCTGATAAGTCACTAGATGTTAAATTTTAAACACAAGTCACATATAACAGTTGGTAAACCACCTGCACAATAACAATAATTTTATTTAATGTTCAGATGGACACACCTCTTGCCTCATCACCTGCCACCACTGAGAAGAGCCTAGATACATCTTCCTCATACCCTTCCCAGGCAAGAATTGTTCAAATTTATATAAGATTCATCATTACAGGGTCTGGTCCTACCAGCTAAGAAAACAAACAAATAAATTACTGTTTATCACCAAAGACCCAGTAAATACCTACATGGTTGAACAAGTTACTGTATGTGGCTGGCTGGAGTTGCTCTCATGGATGCAATTAGCAGATCTCTGGGCATCCAGCTAAAACTGGGAAGATAAACTGGGCCCACAATGTCACCCAGCATCTCACTAAACCAAACTTCACTCCATTGGGCAAGTTCATTCTGCAGGTTAAGATTTATGAAGACTGTTTAAACAAGACACAGGATATCATACCCAAGAAATACACCCTGTTTTTCTGAGTATAAGCCCATGTTACCCTTGCATTTTTTTACTAATCCATGTTTCCTCTGCACAGGAGTAAATTTCCATAATGTGTCAAATTTATCACTTGGGTTGTGTCCAAAACACCACTCCCAAAGTTAGAGATGACTGTGATTGCACTAGGGTAGGAATAAATTCTAATTTCAGCAATGCTTGAGGAAAAAAAACCAAAAACAAAACCAAACAACTTACTACAGATACACTGTCTCCAAAAATTAAATTATTTTTTCTTAACTGCAATGTGATGGTACACCTCAGGGAGGACTGCATTAAGGATATCTGAATGATTCTGACATTACATTTATTATACTCAATTTTATTTCTACACAATTTAACACAAAAAAAGTAATTTTTATAATACAGATAGTCATGAAAACTGCTTAGTAGGACACAAAAGAAGTAATATTACTTGGAAAAATTCAGCAGTTGTCTGCCTTTCAGCACTAGCTGTTGTAACAGAAGAAGTGTTATTATTGTATAATAGTATATTTTTGTAGAGGTAAGGGATTACAGAAGAAACAAAACTCCATAGGAAAAAAGCATCATGCTGTTCCTTATCACAGCCCCAAAAACAAAGCAAGCAAGGAAAACAATCTGTTTTGTTGAAGGTACAAAACTGATATTTGAAGTCAAAAAGAGAAAAATCCAGAATTTCATTTAAGATGGTTATCAGGTAAGTTTTAAATATAAAATTGATTTTTCATTTTAACACTATTCAGTTATCATGATAGAACAATATATTCTCAAAATGGGACTATGAGTCGTGCCTTGCTGGTAGCATTACGTAAGTACAGTACTGTGCTATTCATTCAGTAATTTACAAGTATGAATAAAGTCTCGTAACATCTTTTTGTTAGGTGTGTTTTATAGCCAAGAACATAAAGGCAGAATGGCTAACAGCCTGAATTCTAGAAACGTACAGAATCCCTAAAAATCAGGCCTCTAAAAATCAGGCCATCAAACACTTAGAACTGGCCAGCTCGAGATGTGTGTGAGGGGCTGAGGCCTGCCCAGCTCATCACATCTGTGAGGTAGGCAAGGACTGCCCACCTCGTGACACATATGAGGGGACTGAGGCTTGGAAAACTCTCGACACTTGTGAGGAGCTGAGGCCTGTCCAGATCATTACATGTGTGAAGGGACTGAGGCCCAGAAAAATCATGATGTGGTGAGGACTGGCCAGCTCACCACTTTTCTGAGGTAGCTGACGACTGGCCACAGGTTTTTTTTGTCCTTTCAACTCAAAGAAGTGAGTTTCAAATTCAGGGAAAAAGCTCCAAGTTTTCATTTCTCAGAATGAAAATTCTGTTTATTTTTGTCAGACATCTCTAGACAACTTCCCTCAGGCATAAGCCTGACTAACTCCTACAACCCTTCCAACCCCTGTGCGTGCCTCTCGTGAAAAGAGAGGGCTCTGACAGAGATGAAAAACAATCAAGAAAAAAAATCCAAACCCAAAAATGAACCACCAGGATGGAGAAAGTGGGTTCAGATGCAGCACCACTCGAGAAATAGCACCACAGCATGTCAAGGGGTGCCAGAAGCTGCTCTAGCCCATGGCAGTCAGTGTCTTCCAAACAAGCAGAGGGCAAACTGAAAGCAGCATCTACTTAATATAGTAAATATGTCATTACACAATTAACCAACAGCCAAAAAGCTTTACTCATTAGTTGTGCAGTTTATTTAGACAGGACAAAAGCTTGCACAGTTCTGTAATGCTACACATAAGTGAAAACATCCGAGAATATATTATGTTTTTTTCCCCCATATATTTAACTTTGCACTTTGTTCTTGGAAGCAACTTATTTTTTTAGGATTCCCGTTTCAGCAGTACATATGCTCCCATTACTGCCAAAAGAGCATACTGCAAAAGAAAAGAGAGAAGAAAGCCCAACTGTCATCTCCCTTCACAGAAGCTCTGAAATGACAGATCGCTCAAAGCACGCACACCCTCTAGGCGAGCACACAGCTGTACAGCTGTGCTCCTGCAAATTTCAGGAATGTTTTAATGTGATCATACTCCTCAAACAGGCATCACAACTCTATACACTTAACTTAGGAAACTCCTATACATTGTTTGCAAATTGTTACAAATGCTAAGTTTTACTGGATAACAAGCTAAAATAAGGAAGGAAAAACAGCTCCTCCACATTAGGTACCAAGTCACAAACGCATTAACGTGCATTCTTACACGCAAGATTCTTACTATCCTTACTTGCTATTTTACACTTTCAAATTCAAGCATGCAAAATGTCTCTACACATACCTTGAACTTTGGATAGTCGTTCATTATTATGGTTACCATACCCACATATGGCAAAAACCTGAATTGACAAAAGAGAAACAAAGTTAACCCTCAAACACTACACAGAAATGCTTCAATATTACTTAGTCTTGAGTATTTTAGTGTAAAACAATCATGACACTAATAAATATCTGAATAGGAAATAAAATGTATTTTTTTTTCCTTAGATAACCATTTAATCAAGTTATTTGAGAAAAAAAATCTGAAGATGTTTCATCTCAACTGGGGAATGGGACCAAGTCAAAAGCTCAAACCTTGTATAAAATTCCTGCGGAACGTGGAAGTAATTTCTTAGGAATTTCTAGCAATTACAAGGATAAGTTGGTTAATTCTGTACTGGTGAATTATTTGTTAGATGTGCCATTAAAAAAAGAAATTCCACTCTCCACATCAGTGAGAGGACTACAAAAAACTTTTCCAGTTTCCTCAATTATAATTTTATTTAAGAAATTTTGAATGTATCATGCCAGATCTAGTTTGTACCAACAGCGGAACTGACTTAAGTTCTAAATTTTCTTTTTAATTACAAAGAACAGAGACATTTTCAATGCTTACCCTCTTGCTC